ATTTCTTGACTTTTTGATTCTAGCCCTTCTGAAGGCTGTAAAGTGATATCTTATTGTGGTTTTTTATTTGTATTTCCCTGATGATGAGTGTTTGATCATCTTTTCATGTGTGTGTTGGCCATTTGTAAGTCTTGTGTGAAAAATATCTATTTAGGTCCTCTGCCCATTTTAATATAATTATTTGTTTTTTGGGTGTTGCATTGCCACATTGTTTAATACCTAACAATATAGGGGCACCTGGCTGGCTCAGTCAGAGGAGTGTGTAACTCTTGATCTCAGGGTCATGAGTTCAAGTCTCACATGAGGTGCAGAGATTAGATAAATAAATAAAAAACTTAAAAAAATATTTTTAAATAAAAAATAAAATAAAGCTAACACTGTAACTCTAGAATTGTTGTTTGGAGAAATAAATAAAATCTTGCAGACAAAATACCTAGGCCTGGTAGGTAACCTGCACATGGTCAGTGCTTAATAAATGTGTGCTAAATATACTGGTGTGGTTAATAATCCTTACAATTTTGTACTTTGGGGGGAAGAAAGCATTGAAGAGAAAAAAATTCTATCTCAGAGCTTATCTGTGTCAGTCTGTGTACATGCCCCTGCTGCTGTTCCCTCCCTCAATTAAAAAATACTGCATGTTTTGACATTATTCCATTATTCTAAGGACCAGTGATTTCTCAGTGGTTTCTGACTCACCCTCAGGCTCATGGCAGCATCTCTAGAAGATATGAGAATATAATTAAGATCCTAGCATCTTTACCAGAATGAGGTTCCAAGTCTTCCCAGTCAAGACTTTTAACATTGTATCACCAATCATCTGCAATTTTTAATAAAACAGAATATAAATTATTACAGCTAAAAGTTACCTAGTGAAGTCACACTTATGGCAACCACCCAAATAAAAAAATATTCCAGTGCTTGGTGTGTTGGATCCAAGTACATTAGGCTGAATTCCTCCTCTACAGCTCTCTCCTCTCCCTCCTTTCCACCACATTCTCCAAACACACTCCTCTCTCTACCCTGTGCCTCTGTACATCCTGTTCTCTCAACAGAACACACTGCTAATGAAATAGGTATACATTAATAACAACAAATCAGTTTGGGATCTTTTAAAAAATATCCTGTTCATGTTTATGAGAGCTTGTATTTCCAACTAGTAAGAGTCTGTTCTGAAGTTAACCTGAGTTTGTACTGCCTAAATAAAACCAATTTTTGGAACTCACTAGGCTATGACAATTATAGTAGTATGTTTAGAGAAACGAATATGGTTTTAAGTAAATGGCCAAATAATTATAACTTGCTGATCACTCAACTCAATGAATGCATTTTTGTTTTAATAACTATTAGGGCGCCTGGGTGGCTCAGTGGGTTGAGCCTCTGCCTTGGCTCAGGTCATGATCTCAGGGTCGTGAGATCGAGCCCCGCATCGGGCTCTCTGCTTGGCGGGGAGCCTGCTTCCTCCTCTCTCTCTCTGCCTTCCTGTCTGCCTACTTGTGATCTCTGTCAAATAAAGAAATAAAAATCTTAAAAAAAAATTTAATGTATAACTATTACAAGCCTAAATGTAGATATTCACCCACGGAACTAGTAAAACTCCAAAAGCTTAATGAAATAGAATATAAAGATGTATCAACTAGCTTATATATTACTAATAACACCTAAATACTCTCCATATTTCTAGAACTGTAATATAACCTATTAGAATAAATAAAATGCATACTATGCCAAGGGTGAGAACAGCTTTAAAGGTACAAAATTTCACTAGAAAATGCAAAGTGCAGGGGCGCCTGGGTGGCTCAGTGGGTTAAAGCCTCTGCCTTCAGCTCAGGTCACGATCCCAGAGTCCTGGGATCGAGCCCCACATTGGGCTCTCTGCTCAGCTGGGATCCTGCTCCCCCCCTCACCCGCCTGCCTCTCTGCCCACTTGTGATCTCTGTCTTTCAAATAAATAAATAAATAATCTTTAAAAAAAAAAAAAAGAAAATGCAAAGTGCAGAAACCCTGGAATGAATCATAATCCTAAAATATTAACTAAATATAATTGAAAACAAGCTAAAATCCAAGTCATTTTTATTTTTAGAAAGCAGATTAGATTAGGGTGTAAAGAGGGATAAAAAGACAGAGCAAAGAGAATTTTTATGGCAGTGAAAGTACTCCATGATATACTATAATAGTGGAGATATATATTATTATAAAGTAATCCAAAAGCAAAACATATACAACACCAAGAGTAAACCCCTAATGTAAAACTGTGGACACCGAATTATGATGATGTTCATCTAATATAGCAAATGTACTACTCTGGCAGGGGATGCTGATAAGCGGGGGAAGCAGGTGGGGGCAGAGGATACAGAGGAGGTCTCCTCTCCTTCCACTCAATTTTGCCATGAATCTAAGACTTCTCTAAAAAATAAAGTCTATTAAGTGGAGGGGGGAGCAGATCAGAAAAACTACAAATCGTTGCTAAATGTAGTAGACTCATTTTCTTTAAAAAAAAAAACAAAACTGTATAGAGCATTTATAATTAGCCGGTCTGAATCAACTAGAAACTACATGACAAAGCTAGCACGATAATTCAGCCTTGGATTTATCAGCACCCTATTGAGACCTCTTTGCAGCATTGTTAAGTGTTATCTCCTAACACCTCTAGGGAGTGTGTTTAAATAAAATGTACTCACACACCCCTTCTGTTCATATATGCAGTCCCTTACAGACACAAATTACTTATCCTCCTCAAAAGTCTAAACGGAGTGTCTACTCTCAATAGGACATTTGGGAGATATAAAAAGATTCTTACACTCAAGATCCCTTCCTCTGAGATCTTACAATCCAATCCTGGGAAAAGATCAAAACGTCCAAGGAAGGATACTCCAAGTAGTCAAGTGGTAAACACACGAAACCAGGCTGTCCGTCTTTTCCTTCACAGAATGCCTTTCTCCTGACTGGATCCTTCTCATCTTTCAAATCTCAGTATAAATGCTACCACCTCAGAAATATTTCCGGACACCATCCTGTGATTTTCTGTCACAACGTCCCACTCCTTTGCTTCACTGCTGGTTTGTTGTTCGTTTTCCATTCTGTAATTGCATATTTGGTTGCTGGTTTATAATCTGCAGCCAGTAACAGACTGAATATCCCAGGCAGGCGCACACTCCACTGCATTACCAAGAATTTGCAAAGCATTCAATAAACACTGGTTAAATGAATGCACAGGTCTGGGGCTCGGGACAAAGGGCTGGGCTAGAAGTACTGGGGTAGAGATGATAATTTACCCATGAAAACTGGTAAGATCGCCTGTCGAAAATGTGTGGGGTTCTAAGAGAAGAGAATCTAGAATCAAGAACTGAGGAAGCCCAAACATTCAGAGTTTGAGTAGAACAGGCAAAGACTAGGACAGACTAGTCAGATAAACCACCAGGAAGCCGGAGATACACAGTGTTCCAAGAACTTAGTATTCCCCTGCTTGTGTTCTCTTACTCTCTTGGTCAGATAAGTAAAATCTTCTAAAAAGGGTGGGGGGGGGGCGGGGGGGGGGCTGGGGTTGTTTAAACCTCTGCCTTTGGCTCAGGTCATGATCCCAGGGCCCTAGGATTGAACACCTTGTTGGGCTCCCTGCTCAGCAGGGAGTCTGCTTCTCCCTTTCTGCCTCTCCCAGTTTGTGCTCTCGCTCGCTCACATTCTCTCTCAAATAAACAAAATAAACAAATCTTATAACAAATAAATAAACAAAATCAAATCAAATAAACAAAATCTTAAAAAAATCTTAAAAAAAAAAAGAATACATTTTTTAAAAAAGAAGTCAGTATTCAGGGGCACCTGGGTGACTCAGTGGGTTAAGCCTCTGCCTTCAGCTCAGGTCATGATCCCAGGATCCTGGGATCAAGCCCCACATAGGGCTCTCTGCTCAGCAGGGAGCCTGCCTCCCCCTCTCTCTCTGCCTCTCTCTCTGCCTACTTGTGATCTCTCTGTCAAATAAATAAATAAAATCTTTTTTAAAAAAAGTCAGTATTCAAATGCAGAATGCCGCCAAGAGGTCTAGTGAAAAGTGAACAGAAAAGGATCCACTGGGTTTCATTGCAGGGAGGTTACTGGTGACTCTCAAGACAGCCCTGTCAGAGGAGTGTGGGATGGGATGACAAACAGCAGAACTATGCCCAGATGAGGAAGCAGAGTCACTATCTAAGGGTTAAAACTGTGGAAGGCAACAGAAAGATGGGTGATAGATGGAGACATTCAGTAACTCCTGAACACCCACAAGGTAAAGAGAACAGTTTATCTAAACAGTATGAGATGCAAACAGCCAGGGAAAACAATCCTCCACATCCTGAAGTACCCCAGCACCATGAGGTCATCCTGAAAGTCACTGCAACAACTGGGCATACTGCGAGCATTCAGTGTTAGCTGTGGTTGCCTGTTTAACAGACTGTCTCTTCACCAGACTCTAAGTGCCCCCGTGAGGTCAGAGACCTTGTGTTTGATCCATGCCTGCGTTCCCAGCACCATACAGATGTCTGGCACAATGTAGGTGCTCAATAAATCCAAACGAAGTCAGAATTCAAAAGGCAATCGTAACAGAAATAATACTGGTTATCTCTGTTCTCTAATTACTTTTACTTTTTTTTTTTTTAAACTTTACGATGACAACGTCACTTGGGCATAATAGTATTCGTTACTTTAAGTATTATTGTCATTAAACCTGGCTTCCCCTTTCAGACTCAAGATTCCTGACAGCGAACGCGTGCCTGCTCATCCCGCGACACGCTCGGGGTCTCGCAGGAAGTCAGGCTAAATACTCATGAACCTGGATCAACGGCATCTTACTAAAGGGCTGTGACAGCAATTTCCACAGAGTAATCCCAAGGTCACCAGCCAACCCAAGGTCCACGACCCTAGAGGCAGCTTTCCCCTCGGCGGAGCCGGCGCCTTCTCGGCAGGGGGCGCTGCAGCCTCCTCCGAAGGCGGCCCCGGCCTTAGTCCCCGCCCCCCAGTTCCGCGGTCACCTGCAGCGGCGGCACTCGGGCCTCCGCTCGGCGGGCTCCACCGGCAGCTCCCACAGTGCGTCGGCAAAGGCGCTGTCAGCGAAGGCGCCGTCCGCCTCCGCGTCCAGGGAAGCCTCCGCCGGCGCTGTGTCGCCCTCCCGCCGCTCCTCGTCTTTAGGCGTCCGAGACCTTGAGGGCCCCGACGACCGCGCGACGGGGTCCCCGGGTGTTCGCGCCTCTTTTTGCGGCTCCATGGCCGGCGCCCAGGTCCTGCTGTCACATTGAGCCCTCGCTGCCGCAGGGGGGCGCCACACGCTGGAGAAACCGCCTCGCGCCGCGCGGCGTCACGCACGCAGGCCACGTACGGGGGGGCGGGTCCCCGAAGCCCAGGCTCGAGGTCCCGCCCCGCTGCGGAATTGGGACGAGCCTATTGGTCGGTGCTCGGTGGGCCATTACATCTGGGAACCAGGAAGGGAAGTGTGGGTGGTCCCGGGGAGCAGATGCCAATAGGTAAGCTTCTCAGGGACAGAAAATAGAAAGCCCCTCAGCGGACCTCTCAGGAGCAAACCCGAATGCGCCGCCCTTAATGTCTCCCCTTTAAAAGTGAAAGTTAAATGGAATTCTGCATTTTCCACCTTAGGACTGCACTTTTGAGAATTAAACTGGTTCCGTGCATACCACAGTTGGAGCAGCGATGCGGTTGATCGCTAAAGGCCAGTAAAGGAGAGCCTGTACGGACTGACAGCTGGATTCGCAGCTGGTCCGTTTCATGCAGACTCTTCTCTGGACAGGCAGGTAGATCAGTCCTGTGTCTTTTATATCTTGGCATTCCTCCTCGCCATCAAGCATAGATTTTACACTAGACACCAATTTTTTTTTTAATTGTATTTTCTCAGTGTTCCAAATGTTTCTTAAATGCGGTTTTTAAGTTATCTGAGGCCCCTAAGATCAGGAAGCAGTCGGAGGGCTGAGATACGGTGGATGGGGGCGGGGCGGGGGGGGGAAGCCATCAAAAGATAACTACTTCAAAAAAAGAAGAAAGAAGATAACTACTTTAGGAAAGAGAGAGAGGAAGGAAGGAAATGGAAAGGAAAGAAGAAAACTACTTTGCCCCAGTATTTGCAGCTCCCGGATGACAGCAATATATAGCCTAGAGCGTTTTGAAAAGCCAAAGTGAAGTCCGCCTTAGAATGAAGGCAGAAATAGTACTTGCCCAAAATTGGGCTCTGATGCTTTTCATTTATTAATACTGTGTGTGACTAATACCACTGTTGAGCATTTAAACAAAAAATTAGTTTTCATCAGTTACCTAAGTTTTGCAGTCATAATTATTCGATCCCAGAGCCATGAAGGATTAAACACAAAACAAAGCAGGTTCAACACTAACAGTAATAGAGCAATATTGTAGTTCTTAAAACAAAGTACTTATTTCAATAGTAGGTTTTCAGCCATCTTAAAACCAAGCTGATGAATAGAATACAGAGCTATTGTTTTTAATTATTTTGCATTCTTTTCTGCTGGAAACAGCACCTGTCCTTTCTTTTGGAGTACTCTAAAGAGATAGAAAAAAGCTGAAAGACCTACCAGGCGAGGGATGGAGGATGGAAGAAAGAACTGACACACAGGCCAGCTGAAATTGGGAAATAATGAAAATCCAGAGACTGTAGAAAGAGAGGTGAATCAGAAAATAAAGAAATACTGGCTGCAGATTTAGGATGGAGAACCAATTCTTCAACTGCCAAAACTAAATTGTCATGTGACAACCTTTAGACACTTTTCTCTAGTTTCAAGACATGAAATGTTCTCTTAAGTCAATAAAGTTCCTCCCAACTGTGAGGTGTGTTGAGGGCAAATCAGTCCTGACAGCCTACTTATATTTGACTTTCCCTTTAACCCCCACTAATCAGATTATTGGCTGTACACTTCAAAGTATCCAAAATCCAATCATTTATCTCTTTTACTACTTCTGCCCTTGTTTAAGCCCCCATCATTTCTTGCATAGGGTATTGCTATAGACACATAAATGGTCTCTTGCTCTCTCCTTGCTTCTCTGATAAATCTGTTCTCCCTGAGGTTGACCAGAATCAAAGAAAACTCCCACGTAGCAGGGATGCAGCCAGAGTTAAGCGAAAAGAGTCATCTGTCCTCTGGAAAGCAAGATATTCACCCAATATCCAGGTTTGTTAACCCTGACCTTGAGAAACCCAAAGAGATGTATCACCTACCAAGCAGCTGCTACTTAATGTGAGGTCACTATTCAGGGGTAGACTCGAGTCAGAATAGACATCAGTGATCCAAAATCTAAGAAATGCCAAGACATCAAGAAGGGGAGCAAAAGTTCCTTGAAGGTATACTACTGATTATGAGAGCAAGACTGTTGCAAGATAATCTATTAATATGTTAGTTTATATATCGTTTATCTCCCAGCTCCTAGTAGGTAACCTGGGTTGTTGGCCTCAGGACAGTGAGTGGTAAAAACTGATTAGAGACATCACAATATCAGGCCATGGGGTGGGGGCGTGGGCAGGTTGTTAGGGATGGTAAGTGCCCTTTTGGTAAAAGCAAAAACCAAAGTCCCACCCCCACTCCCACATGGTTCCCAGGAGATGAGGCAACATTCAGATAGGAGGAATAAGGGAATGACTTCATGTGTGCCTTGAGGGAATGAACCATTTCCAGCCTTGTAACTATCCTGCTGCAACCACCAGAATACTTGGGGCCAAGAAGACAAGAACAGTGGCATCTCACTGATAGCAAATGAGGACAAAAGTTCCAGGGGCCTCCCTGAGGTTTCCACACAAGATCCTTGAGACCTTAAATGTTACTGATAAGGGAAAGGGTGTCAGTAATGTCTGGGATTGAATACCTTACCAGTGCAGTAGGATGAAGATCCAGCATTGAATAAACTTGGATTTAAGTGAAATAAAGATAGGGCATCTGGGTGGCCCAGCCAGGTGAGTGTCCAACTCTTGATTTCAGCTCAGGGTCGTGATCTCAGGATCTTGGGGATGAGACCTAATACAGGCTCTGGGCTACCATGGAGCCTGCTTAGGATTCTCTCTCTCTCCCTCTCTCTGTCCCTTCACTCCTCCCCACTCCTGTGCACTTTCTATAAATCAATCCATCAGTCAATGAAATAAAACTGCATTTCCTGCCGTTATTTGCTTTCTATCAATGCTGTAACAGATTACCATAAACTTTGTGGCTTATAATAATACACATTTATTATCTTACATGTTTGTATATTAGAAATCTGACAGAGATCTCATAGGGCTAAAATCTACATGGGGGAAGGCTGCATTTCCTTTGGAGGCTCTAAAGGAGACTACCTTTCCTTGCTCATCATTCAGGGTATTGGCAGGATTCAGTTCCATGTGGTTGTCATTTTCTTCCTGGCTATCAGCTTTTTGATGTCACCCATATTCTTTGACTTGTAGGAGAAGCAAATGGTTGGTTACCTTTACTACATCTCATAGGTTTAGAGAATGAAATCAGCAAGACAGACCAATGGGAGAAAAGCATTCATATTTACTTAAAAAAAGATTTTCGGGGTGCCTGGCTGGCTCAGTGGGTTGAGCCTCTGCCTTCCGCTCGGGTCGTGGTCCCAGGGTCCTGAGATGGAACCCCACATCAGGCTCTCTGCTCAGCGGGGAGCTTGCTTCCTCCTCTCTCTCTGCCTGCCTCGCTGCCTACTTGTGATCTCGGTCTATCCAATTTAAAAAAAAAAAAAAAATCTAAAAAAGAAAAAAAAAAAAAGATTTTCATGACCAGGGAGCCTTCCTAAGGGACAAGGACCCAAAGAAGTTGTGAAACCAACTTGCTTTTACATTAGGTTGAGCAAAGAAAGGCAATTGTGGAAAAGTGACTCAACCCTGTGGGCAGGCTGAAGCAAGATCAGAATTATTTTAACAAGGATGGTTTGTATAGACTTCTCTTGATCTCAATTTCCTGTCCTTGGCGATTAGCATGTGTTTACCTTCTGGAATAGAGAGGACAACTTCCATATAGGAATGAATATCTCCTTTTAAGCAAAAGAAGGAAGGTCAGTGTTTTTCTTGTATTTGCCATCTTTCAAGCGTCTTTCACTCACAACAGTCAAAATGCTAAAGTGCCGTATGTCTGGGGCAGAATCTTCTGGATCTCTGAGCCAGTAATGGCAGGTTGAGTTCCTGTTAGGATTCAACTCTCCCCAGCCCCTTCTACCATAGAAAAAAGAAAACCACAGGCCCCAAATGGTGTCACTTAGGCCAAGTCACCAAACTGGGGCTTCATGCCCAACAATATTAGGTGACTGTTAGAGCCTTTCCCAGAAATGTAGTCTTACCTGGTCAGGTAATTTTCTGGATCAGGAATTGTCTGATCAGAACCAATGACGTCATGTGTCACATGGACCCTCCCTATCCCCCAATCCACATTAAAGGACCCATCTGTCCCCAAATGAAGATGACCTCACCTGAAATCATCCTTTTTTCTGTTTATTACTTCCTCGCTTCCTTGTCCTGCCTTTAAAAACCTTTCCTTGTCTGCAGCCCCTTGGAGCTCCCCTCTACTTACAGGATGGGGTACTGCATGACTCAGGAACTGATTTAAAAAGCCCATTATATCTTCAAATTGACTTGTCTAACAGATTGGGTGTCAGCATGGGGAATCTGAAGCGAACTTGTGACAGCATGTGGGAAACAAGAAACGAGCCTGCGATCCTCTCTGAGTTCACGGTCTTTCTCTCCATTTCCAAGGGTACTTGGTGAATCCCTCTTGGATGGAGTTTCACTCTGTATTGGAGCTCCTGATTGGCTTTCCGATCCAGCTAATGGGTCAGTCTAGACTGACAGAAGGCTCCAACAGAACACCAGTCCCCACCTCCCCCCCACCCCACTCCCCCAACCCCGTTCAGTCCACAGTTCCACACAGGATTCCCTTCTCCCATTCAAATCTGCTGCCCCCACATGCCAGACTTTGTTGGCTTCGTCCTTTTCCCGATTCCAGTCTGCAGTCTCCCCCAGCGGAGTCTGCTGGTATTGTCTGTGTTGGGAATTGCTAGTGGCGTGCTCATCAGCTTCCGCTGCATAGTCCAAGTAACCCAAACCCTGGCCTTTATTTCTCTCCACAGATTCCACATTGGTACCTGCTCGTGGGCAGCCACAGTACTCCGCTGGTTTGGAAATCAGCCCTCAGTCTCCATTCTTTGAGGTCTGCTGGTTCATCCTTTCTCCAGTTCCTAGTTTCTTGGTTATCACTAGCTGGACCCCAAGACCTGACCTTTACTGTGCACCTTCTTGCACTCAATGACCTTTCTCCCACATTCTTCCTTAAGCTCTTCTTTCCAGCTTGTCCCTTAACTCAG